AGAACAAACCAGGTCCTCAGGTACAGTTAGTCAACGCTTCAAAAACTTACACTTGTTTTCTCTGTTCCGAGGAGTCAAGCAAACAAACACACGTTTACTCAACGTCACAGTATTTACCAGTCCCGTGAAGATCTGGGATAGAATAGGTCTTCAGCAACCCATGCTTGCCGTAAAAGGTGACTATGTTCGTCGTAAGATGCGACTAACCGGATCGGGTGGTCAGGCTCGGTGACTTGGTTGATGCATGTGGACGAATTATTCATAGTGTGTTTATTAGTATGTTTTAAAATCACATATTTCATATTCAGTATATTGACTAGTGCTTGGACACAAATGTGTCTTAGCTCCCCAACATCAACCACCTTTACCAATACGACAGTGAATATTGACTGGCTCTTGTACAAATATGTGTATTGTCTCACCAACACACGTCGCCTTCACCAGTGAGTGAGTGAGTATAGTGTTATGCCGCTTTTAGCGCAATGTTCCAGCAATATCTCGGCGGGGGGACACCAGAAATGGGCTTCACACATAGTACCCATGTCGGGAATCGAACCAGGGTCTTCGGCGTGACGAGCGGACCCTTTAACCACTAGGCTACTCGACCGCCCCTCGCCTTCACCAAAACGGCAGAGTATATTGACTGGCTCTCTTACAAGTATGTGTATTATCTCACAAACACCCACCGCCTTCACCAATACGGCAGAGAATATTGACTGGCTCTTTTACAAGTATGTGTTTTCATCTCACCAACACCCACCGCCTTCTACAATACGGCAGAGGATATTGACTCGCTCTTTTACACATATGTGTCTTAATTAATTAATACCCGAACCTACATCCGTTTGTGAACATTCAACTTGAATGTGAGCGGGGAAGCCGACTCTCATTTCATTTCATGCACCAATGTAGAAGCATAGCATTCATGAATTATCCAGCCAGTGTCTTTTAAATGTCACTCACAGTTGATTAGATTGCAGCCAAAGTGTCCATGTATTATGCATGCCACCTGAATGTTACATTTATAGCAACATGAGAAAAAGTTGTTATGGGGTGGGGCAGGATACGCCCACCTTTTAGCAAACACCTGAAGTAATCACTATTTGATAGTAATTCATAAACACATGCTCATCCAGTCAGAATCCTACAATTCTTATGAATAGGGAAAGGGTTCGTCGCTTTTATTGTCTGTATTTGCAAACAGGATGTTCATATATTGCACTTGCAACCGTCACGTTGACTGATAATACATGCACCCATTGTGTTAACTGTACACGCAACGCGGGGATTAACTGAGTATTTGGGCAACTGGAGAGATGATTGAAACAAGGCGATGATTTTCCAGGGAACCAGGGGGACTATGTTTTGTATATGCAACCAGGCTGTTAACTGATGGGAACAGCCACCAGGGTATTAATTGTTTGTACGTGCAACCTGGATGTTAGTTTATTGCACATGAAACAAGGGTATTAATTGTTTGTACGTGCAACCTGGATGTTAGTTTATTGCACATGAAACAAGGGTATTAATTGTTTGTACGTGCAACCTGGATGTTAGTTTATTACACATGAAACAAGGGTATTAATTGTTTGTACGTGCAACCTGGATGTTAGTTTATTGCACATGAAACAAGGGTATTTATAGTTGTTTGTACGTCAACCGGTAAGTTAGTTTATTGCACATGAAACAAGGGTATTAATTGTTTGTACGTGCAACCTGGATGTTAGTTTATTGCACATGAAACAAGGGTATCAATTGTTTGTAGGTGCAACCAGGATGTTAGTTTATTGCACATGAAATAAGGGTATTAATTGTTTGTACGTGCAACCTGGATGTTAGTTTATTGCACATGAAATAAGGGTATTAATTGTTTGTACGTGCAACCTGGATGTTAGTTTATTACACATGAAACAAGGGTATTAATTGTTTGTACGTGCAACCTGGATGTTAGTTTATTACACATGAAACAAGGGTATTAATTGTTTGTACGTGCAACCTGGATGTTAGTTTATTGCACATGAAATAAGGGTATTAATTGTTTGTACGGGCAACCTGGATGTTAGTTTATTGCACATGAAATAAGGGTATTAATTGTTTGTACGTGCAACCTGGATGTTAGTTTATTACACATGAAACAAGGGTATTAATTGTTTGTACGTGCAACCTGGATGTTAGTTTATTACACATGAAACAAGGGTATTAATTGTTTGTACGTGCAACCTGGATGTTAGTTTAATGGCACATGAAACAAGGGTATTAATTGTTTGTACATGCAACCTGGATGTTAGTTTATTACACATGAACCAAGGGTATTAATTGTTTGTACGTGCAACCTGGATGTTAGTTTATTGCACATGAAACAAGGGTATCAATTGTTTGTAGGTGCAACCAGGATGTTAGTTTATTACACATGAAACAAGGGTATTAATTGTTTGTACGTGCAACCGGTATGTTAGTTTATTGCACATGAAAGAAGGGTATTAATTGTTTGTACGTGCAACCAGGATGTTAGTTTATTGCACATGAAACAAGGGTTTTAATCGTTTGTCCGTGCAACCAGGATGTTAGTTTATTGCACATGAAACAAGGGTTTTAATTGTTTGTACGTGCAACCAGGATGTTAGTTTATTGCACATCAAGGGTATTAATTGTTTGTACGTGCAACCAGGATGTTAGTTTATTGCACATGAAACAAGGGTATTTATAGTTGTTTGTACGTCAACCGGTAAGTTAGTTTATTGCACATGAAAGAAGGGTATTAATTGTTTGTACGTGCAACCAGGCTGTTAGTTTATTGCACATGAAAGAAGGGTATTAATTGTTTGTACGTGCAACCAGGATGTTAGTTTATGGCACATGAAACAAGGGTATTAGTTGTTTGCACGTGCAACCGGTGGTTTAGTTTATGGCACATGAAACAAGGGTATTTATTGTTTGTACGTGCAACCGGTATGTCAGTTTATTGCAAATGAAACAAGGGTATTAATTGTTTGCACGTGCAACCGGTATGTTAGTTTATTGCAAATGAAACAAGAGTATTAATTGTTTGTACGTGCAACCTGGATGTTTGTTTATTGCACATGAAACAAGGGTATTAATTGTTTGTACGTGCAACCGGTATGTTAGTTTATTGCACATGAGACAAGGGTATTAATTGTTTGTATGTGCAACCTCGATGTTTGTTTATTGCACATGAAACAAGGGTATTAATTGTTTGTACGTGCAACCGGTATGTTAGTTTATGGCACATGAGACAAGGGTATTAGTTGTTTGTAAGTGCAACCGGTATGTTAGTTTACTGCACATGAGACAAGGGTATTAATTGTTTGTAAGTGCAACCGGTAAGTTAGTTTATGGCACATGAAAGAAGGGTATTAATTGTTTGTACGTGCAACCGGTATGTTAGTTTATTGCAAATGAAACAAGGGTATTCATTGTTATTTACAGACGGCCGTCATATAGCTGGAATATATTGCTGAGTGCGGCGTTAAACAACAAACCAACCAACCAACCAACCATTACCCTTGTTCATAAAATGGACATGTCCGACATTGCCGAAGTGGGATTGTATTCAGGAAGTCATCGTTATTTAAATACGGGTAAATATTTTTAAAGCTTGTAGATTTTGTTAACATCCTTAAAGAGGCTGTGCATTATGTTGCTATCTCATATTAGAAATAAACGACTCGTGGCCGTATTTTGACGTACCATAAGACACTGGAGGGAGAATAATCACCTTTGGGGCCGCGTACCACATAGTCTATTCTCCCTGCAGCGTTTTCTAGTACGATAAACAACTCCCAGTCGTCGGTTGTTTCTTAAATACATGCAACATGTGTATTAACTGATTATACATACAACCACGATGCTAACTGATAATACATTCAACCAGGTTGTTAACTGATAATACATTCAACCAAGTTGTTAACTGACATACATTCAACCAAGTTGTTAACTGATAATACATGCAACCAGGTTTTTAACTGATAATACATGCAACCAGGTTGTTAACTGATAATACATTCAATCAGGTTGTTAACATATAATACATTCAACCAGGTTGTTAACTGACAATACATTCAACCAAGTTGTTAACTGACAATACATCCAACCATGTTGTTAACTGACAATACATGCAACCAAGTTGTTAACTGATAATACATTCAACCAAGTTGTTAACTGACAATACATTCAACCAAGTTGTTAACTGATAATACATGCAACCAGGTTGTTAACTGATAATACATTCAACCAAGTTGTTAACTGACAATACATGCAACCAAGTCGTTAACTGATAATACATTCAACCAGGTTGTTAACTGACAATACATTCAACCAAGTTCTTAACTGATAATACATGCAACCAGGTTGTTAACTGATAATACATGCAACCAGGTTGTTAACTGATAATACATTCAACCAAGTTGTTAACTGACAATACATGCAACCAAGTTGTTAACTGACAATACATTCAACCGAGTTGTTAACTGACAATACATTCAACCAAGTTGTTAACTGACAATACGTGCAACCAAGTTGTTAACTGACAATACATGCAACCAAGTTGTTAACTGACAATACATTCAATCAAGTTGTTAACTGACAATACATGCAACCAAGTTGTTAACTGACAATACATTCAACCAAGTTGTTAACTGACAATACATTCAACCAAGTTGTTAACTGACAATACATGCAACCAGGTTGTTAACTGATAAAACATGCAACCAGGTTGTTAACTGATAATACATGCAACCAGGTTGTTAACTGATAATACATGCAAAATGGTTAACTGACTATACAGAGTGTTAATTGCTTATACTTGTTTCCAGGGTGTTAATTGTTTGAACATGCAACAAAGTTATAAACTCACTGTACATGCAGCCAGGCTGTATAATGTACATAAACTTGAACAAACAAACTGCACGCAGTCAAGTTGCAACAGCGCGCCCACAATAGAACAATTACCATGTCTTCTTTGAAAGACAATATTAATGCCAACAATCCATGTGCTGACATTTTCAGTTTACCCCGAGGTAACAATGTGCATATACCTTAGTCGCTGCATCCGTCAAAGACCAGCGATCAGTATTGATCTACTTCTAGTGAGCCTCACATCGGCTTAAATGTAAAAGACATTTGAGTCAGGGTGGAATTCTTGGGTAGTCGGCCGTCTGGGTGCTGTATCTCCAGGATACATAATCCACAAACACCGGCAGAGGCTGATGTTAAGCTGGTGTCGAGAGGCAGGGAGCCTCCGTGGCATGTCAGGGTACACAGGGTGGATAAGTCTTAAGCTGTGGGACAAGTAGACAGGAGGAATTCAATCTGATTTTGGTGGCTGAATGGTGTTCTATGTCAAGGGGCAAGATTGATTTTTGATCCTTAGTTCCAGTGTGGTCGGATTGTTGAGAACAGTGTGGTGCCACTCATGCCTCTGGTATCTATCTACCCACACTGGGATGAATCTTTCCATCACATCACCACGGTGTAACTAGAAATCATTTCAAAATGACGGAATCTCGTAGTGCCGGCAAAGCAGGTGGCAAGTCGGAGCCTGCACCATCTATCGTTAAATTCAATATTGGGGGAAAGAAGTTTGAGACACTTTCGTTGACACTTAAGAAGTTTCCCGGGACCCGCTTGGCATCGCTTCACCCCCAGGCAGACGAGTATAACAGGGATACAGGGGAGTACTTCTTTGACAGGGACCCAATTGCGTTTGGGTGTATCCTGAATCTATACCGCACATCGTCCCTCCACTTCCCTGATCATCTATGCGGCAACTACCTTCGCGAGGAACTCAACTTCTGGCGAATTCCGGAGAGTCTGGTCAGCGAGTGCTGCTGGACAGTGTTCTTTAATGCAGAGCAGGACAATCAAATTTTCCGAAACCTCAAGAAGACCTTTTCCTTCCTGGACAAGGATCCGCGACTCAATGAGACAGGGAAAGGGGGCATGGAGCTTTGGATGCATCGAATCTGGCTCCTCTTGGACAAGCCCAACTCTTCTCGTGCAGCTAAGGTAGGTTCTAGTATTCTTCTGATTCAATCGTGACTACGTTTTTTTTTAAAAATATTCAAGTCTAACAAACAGAAAATATGAAGGTACCATGTTTTAATTTTTAAACGATAATAAATTTTATATAGTGGTTATTGGGAGGATCAGCGTATGGTTAACATGCATTTGATCACTTAACCACTGATCCTACCGCAGTTATTAATTAGGGTTGAGGTAAGCAATTCGGATTTTAATTTATAGTTTATTAATCAGATATTGTAGTTGTTGGCTTTACTGATATATAATAATGATAAAACCTTCAGCTGGTTTAATGTCACCACGACTATACATTATTAAGAATTTGCACATAAACAGAGGAAACATTTGTTGTATGTAATAATTCATTGTTAATTACCATCAAAACAAAACTACACTTGATGAAAGACCTTTCAGATCGCCATGTAAAAAAACAAAAAACGGTTCATGTTCAAACGGCATTATTTGGTACCGTTTCCACTTCGAGCGAATTCCGTTTACCTAAACGAATTCTTTGCGTTGTGTGACTCTTTTCTGCGCACACAGGGACGAGGAAGACACCGTAAAAACAACAACATCGCCGATTTTAGCAATATTCCATCAATATCACGGCGGGGGACACCAGAAATGGGCTTCATTGTACCCATGTCGGGAATCGAACCCGGGTCTTCGGCGTGACGAGCGAATGCTTTAGCCACTAGGCTACCCGACCGCCCCCCAATCTCTATGATACACCATGGCATGCTAATGATTTAATTGTGCAGGCGAGGACATGGCAACCGGTTCCATTTCAGTGATAACACCTGTGACCGTTTCCCTAGAGTTTATGTGACATTTATATAATAGTAGTGACTATCGCTTGTATACTTTACCTTGAGTTTACAATGTGTGGCGCAAACCAACCCACATGTCCTGTTTCTGCTGGAGTTTGTAGGAAGAGGGATTATTCTATATATTGTTGCCTTACATACGGCGCTTAAGCGACGTATGGAGCTGCAACATTCATATAAAGATAAGGGGCTGAATACTGCACTTGATTCTGTAAGACATAGCGTCACGGAAGACATTTATAGTCGAAATAATTACTTAAAGGGACACTAGGCTATGGCAAATGTCAGTGCAAGTTTAACTTAATCGATAAACACAACAAAACCCTTTTCTTTATATATCTGCGAAAAGCAGAGTCCATTTGATGTTTCTGACTATTATCAAGACATATGTTTTTGGATCACTATCAAATAGGTGGGTGAAAAGGTAAGAGTACCCTGCCCCACCGTCACAAACACATTCAAAGTCAAGTCAATTGTTCATCTATAAATCAACGAGATCATATGGCACAAGTCAAAGTAAGGAATTGCAACGGACATAATTTTTGTCAATGGCGCATCAAATTTGAAATATCTCACACATGTCAACCATTTTAAAAGTCATACCACACCAAAGCAGTTCTGTTTATCTTCAGACTGTAGTTTTATTATGTACTGTACATCAATTTGTCAGTGAACAATTGCCCTTATCAGACCGAGAAAATGTTTTATTTAAGCACAAAACACTAAACTACAATACATAGACTGGACGTGAGAGTCGTGACTGAGGGGACTAGTCTCCACTTAAGGTCATGCTAAATTATTTGTTCACTTGGTCGTGATAATCTTCTGGTTGATATTTGTATAGCGTAGTTTTGAAATGTGATTTTATAGGCATACTGTTATTTCACATTTGCATTCGCGAACTCACAAGTATTCATCACCTTCTTTAACATGAGTGAGTGAGTGAGTGAGTTGGGAAAGTATTTCAGTTTTGTCACAGCGTCTCATCCTGATGTGAGCGAAAAGCCATCTTCTTGATGTGAGCGGAAAGCCATTTTGATGTGACGGAAAGCCATCTTCTGGATGTGAACGGAAAGCCATTTTGATGTGAGCGGAAAGCCATCTTCTTGATGTGAACGGTTAGCAATCTTCATGTTAGAGGAAAGCCATCTTCTTGATGTGAGCGGAAAACCATCTTCTTGATGTGAGCAGAAAGCCAATATCATTTGAGCGGAAAGCCGTCTTCTTGATGTGAGTGGAAAACCATCTTCTTGATGTGAGCAGAAAGCCATCTTCTTGATATAAGCGGAAAGCTATCTTCTTGATGTGAGCAGAAAGCTATCTTCTTGATGTGAGCAGAAAGCCATCTTCTTGATATAAGCGGAAAGCTATCTTCTTGATGTTTACGGTTAGCCATCTTGATGTAAGCGGGAAGCCATCTTCTTGATGTGAGCGGAAAGCTATCTTCTTGATGTGAGCAAAAAGCCATCTTCTTGATATGAGCAGAAAGCTATCTTCTTGACGTGAACGGTTAGCCATCCCTGATGTGAGCGGAACGCCAACTTGATGTGAACGGAAAGCCATCTTGATGTGAACGGAGAGCCATCTTGATATAAGCGGAAAGCCATCTTCTTGATGTGAGCGAAAGCCATCTTCTTGATGTGAGCGGAAAGCCATCTTCTTGATGTGAGCGAAAGCCGTCTTCTTGATGTGAGCGGAAAACCATCTTCTTGATGTGAGCAGAAAGCCATCTTGATGTGAACGGAGAGCCATTTTGATGTAAGCGGAAAGCCATCTTCTTGATGTGAGCGAAAGCCATCTTGATGTGAGCGGGAAGCCATCTTCTTGATGTGAACGGTTAGCCATCTTGTTGTCAGCGGAAAGCCATCTTCTTGATGTGAGGGGAAAACCATCTTCTTGATATGAGCGAAAGCCATCTTCTTGATGTGAGCGAAAGCCATCTTCTTGATGTGAGCGAAAAGCCATCTTCTTTATGTGAGCGGAATGCCATCTTGATGTAAGTAGAAAGCCATCTATTTTATATGAGGGGAAAGCCATCTTCTTGATGTAAGTTGAAAGCCATCTTCTTGATGTGAGCGGAAAGCCATTTTGATGTGAGCGGAAAGACATTTTGATGTGAGCCGAAAGCCATCTTGATGTAAGCGGAAAGCCATCTTCTTGATGTGAGTGAAAGCCATCTTGATGTAAGCAGAAAGCCATCTTCTTGATGTGAATGAAAGCCATATTGATGTGAGCGGGAAGCCATCTTCTTAATGTGAACGGTTAGCCATCTTGTTGTTAGCGGAAAACCATCTTCTTGATGTTAGCGGAAAACCATCTTCTTGATATGAGCGAAAGCCATCTTCTTGATGTGAGCGAAAAGCCATCTTCTTGATGTGAGCGGAATGCCATCTTGATGTAAGTAGAAAGCCATCTATTTTATATGAGGGGAAAGCCATCTTCTTGATGTAATTTGAAAGCCATCTTCTTGATGTGAGCGGAAAGCCATTTTGATGTGAGTGGAAAGCCATTTGATGTGAGCCGAAAGCCATCTTGATGTAAGCGGAAAGCCATCTCCTTGATGTGAGTGAAAGCCATCTTGATGTGAGCGGGGAGCCATCTTCTTAATGTGAATGGTTAGCCATCTTGTTGTTAGCGGAAAACCATCTTCTTGATGTGAGCGGAAAACCATCTTCTTGATATGAGCGAAAGCGATCTTCTTGATGTAAGCGGAAAGCCATCTTCTTGATGTGAGCGGAAAGCCATCTTCTTGATGTGAGCGGAATGCCATCTTGATGTAAGTAGAAAGCCATCTATTTTATATGAGGGGAAAGCCATCTTCTTGATGTAAGTTGAAAGCCATCTTCTTGATGTGAGCGGAAAGCCATTTTGATGTGAGCCGAAAGCCATCTTGATGTAAGCGGAAAGCCATCTTCTTGATGTGAGTGAAAGCCATCTTGATGTAAGCAGAAAGCCATCATCTTGATGTGAGTGAAAGCCATATTGATGTGAGCGGGAAGCCATCTTCTTAATGTGAACGGTTAGCCATCTTGTTGTTAGCGGAAAACCATCTTCTTGATGTTAGCGGAAAACCATCTTCTTGATATGAGCGAAAGCCATCTTCTTGATGTGAGGGGAAAGCCATCTTCTTGATGTGAGCGGAAAGCCATTTTGATGTGAGCGGAAAGACATTTTGATGTGAGCCGAAAGTCATCTTGATGTAAGCGGAAAGCCATCTTCTTGATGTGAGTGAAAGCCATCTTGATGTTAGCGGAAAGCCATCTTCCTGATGTGAGTGAAAGCCATCTTGATGTGAGCGGGAAGCCATCTTCTTAGTGAGAACGGTTAGCCATCTTGTTGTTAGTGGAAAACCATCTTCTTGATGTGAGCAAAAGCCATCTTCTTGATGTGAGCGGAAAGCTATCTTCTTGATGTGAGCGAAAGCCATCTTCTTGATGTGAGCGGAAAGCCATCTTCTTGATGTGAGCGAAAGCCATCTTCTTGATGTTAGAGGAAAGCCATCTTCTTGATGTGAGCGAAAGCCATCTTCTTGATGTTAGAGGAAAGCCCTCTTCTTGATGTGAGCGGAATGCCATCTTGATGTAAGTAGAAAGCCATCTATTTTATATGAGGGGAAAGCCATCTTCTTGATGTAATTTGAAAGCCATCTAATTGATGTGAGCGGGAAGCCATTTTGATGTGAGCCAAAAGCCATCTTGATGTAAGCGGAAAGCCATCTTCTTGATGTGAGTGAAAGCCATCTTGATGTGAGCGGGAAGCCATCTTCTTAATGTGAACGGTTAGCCATCTTGTTGTTAGCGGAAAGCCATCTTCTTGATGTAAGGGGAAAACCATCTTCTTGATGTGAGCGGAAAACCATCTTCTTGATGTGAGCGAAAGCCATCTTCTTGGTGTGAGCGGAAAACCATCTTCTTGATGTGAGCGAAAAGCCATCTTCTTGATGTGAGCGGAATGCCATCTTGATGTAAGTAGAAAGCCATCTATTTTATATGAGGGGAAAGCCATTTTCTTGATGTAAGTGGAAAGCCATCTTATTGATGTGAGCGGAAAGCCATTTTGATGTGTGCCGAAAGCCATCTTGATGTAAGCGGAAAGCCATCTTCTTGATGTAAGTGGAAAGCCATCTTAATGTGAACGGGAAGCCATTTTCTTGATGTG